GTTCCGGCGGCGTTCAGCGGGGCGGGTGGGCTCTGGCGGGGCGGCGCTCGGCGGGGCGGCGCTTTTTTTTGCTGCTTGGGGCAGCAAAAAAGTTAGAGCCGGCCCTGCACAGGATATAAACAAGTCCCATTGAGCTTAACTATAAATTCTGGCTCAACATTTTACCATTTCCCCAGACTGTGCATTAGACTATAAAGCAGAGCAAGGAAAGACTGGATCCTTACATAATCTCAGTGGCTGGGAAATATGAAATCAAAGGCACTGCAATTTCATAGACATCAGAGATTTCATAACCTGGCTGGAAAAGTTAAAAAAATAATGGAGACAACACCCATCCTACTCATCCAGGTAGGAATGTTACTGCTGCCTTTAGGATATTTAGGCATCTAAAGAGCATGTCTCGTCTTATCCTATGTGGATGCTGTCCAGTTTATGAACACAAGCTCACTATGTCTTCACTGAAATAGCGATAGAAAGCCTATTGGCTGACATAATGTCGTAGTTAGGGTTCCCAGGCTACAAGTTAGGATGCACGAGCCAGTGTTTTTTATGTGCACTGTGAATCCTGCTGTTTTGGGGGATCGGTTACAAAGCATGAGTCTCTTGACACAGTTAAAACATGGTTCAGCACAAATAGGACTTAATTGCTTTAAAGGTCTTTCTGAAGTATGCTACAGCATTGGGCATGAGCAAGGCTGCACTGTAGTTCAATCTCACCTAACCTGTAAGACTGAATCATGTGGGAAGGTAACTCTGTCATAAATGGATCCCAGAACACAATGGGGTTTAGACCATTGACTCAACACATAAGCTTAGTTTGGAGGCACTTTGTAACATGGCTGACTTCACACATGATTCATGTTCGCACACAACAAGATGAACTCATGGCACAGAAATTTTTACCCCGATTAGATAACAGCTGTAATGTGCGTGACAGGCTGCAGGTGGTTTCTAACTGGGTTCGTCTACTGTGTAGACACAAGATTGCTTAACCAAATTCGTGTAACTGGTTTAGCCAACGCGCCAGTTCCCTGGGTCTTTTTGCAGGAGGACATCTTTAATAAAAAACACCCACGTTTCTCTGCCTTTAGGAATCTGAGCTGAAGCAGCAAGGGATAGCTACCCACATTTTTTAAGATTGCCCTCATACAAGCATCATCGTGCAGCAGGGTGAATGTGGATGAGCCAACATGACTGTGGTAAGAAAAATGCGGCTGGATGGATTGCACTGAAATAGTTAACTGTATTCATGTCACTCGAGATTCCACCTATACTACAAAATAAAACATGCTAGACCTGGTCAAAGGATTGTTACACACCCCTCCCCCTCAACATGATTTTGGTTGAGTGAGAGGGTAAACGGGAACGAACTGTATTTCACCTGTGTCTAGGGGGCATACTACAAGCAAGGCTGGGTCCTTGCTAGACTGCAAAATAGTTAGGTCCCATCTGCACTGCAAGAGTGAACCATGTCAAGGAACGTACCTGTCATAAGCAGGTTCCCCGAAACTGTTGATTTTTGTAGAACTGGGTCCAAATGTGGTTCTATGTACAGGGTAGATGCGGCTAGACAGAAAGAGAGTGGGGAAACTGAACCTTAGGGTGATGACCTGGAAGTAATGGAAAAAAGGATTAGTATACTGTAACAGTACATTACAGGGTGTCTGGAATCAGCTGACTGTAGTGCAGTCACAAAAGATTAGGACTAAAATATGAGCTGAGATTTAACAAAACAGTTTAGGAATATAAATTACATTAGTGGAAAGAGCATTAGATTAGAGTCACTTAATGGCAAAGACAGTAAATAGTGCAAGACGGAAGGCATCTTGTGATCCATCAGTACTGCTCTTGACAGCTATTAAAAAGGGACACATTATTCGAGGTATTGCTCCCAACTCCCTCAAGCAAACCGGAGAAAGGAGGGACAGCAAAACTGACAAAATCAGCCAGACAGAAAGAGGTATAGAGAGGGAATGTATAAGAAAGGACAACAAGGAAGAAAACAGAATGAAGAAAGGAAACAACTGAATTTATAAATTAAAGACTAATTTGGCTGAGTTTAATTGAAAAGCAAGAGATGATTCTAGTTTTGTCTGGTTCCATAGAAACTCTACCCCTTTGATTCTCCAGTAGGATAAAAAAGCATATCTCACTCAACCAATGAAACACAAGATAGTATTTCACCATCGGGGGAAAAAGAGTTCATTGGCAGAATGTACCTTGAGAGTGGGCCTCTGCCTGTTAAGCCTACCTTGGGATTTTGTCCCTAAGTGGGATCGCTTTCCAATGTCCATTTAAACGAGGAAAATAATATCCAATTTCAGAGGCTGTTGTGAAAATTTAGCCCTTGAAATCTATTCCTCCAGAGACGGCTTGTCTAACTTCCCAACTTGCAAGCAAAGAAGGCTGCTTGCATGGAAAAAAAAAAAGTACAGGTGTAAAACACAAGCCCAGTTTCAGAGAAAAGTGTGGGGCCAGTTAGACAAGATGGCTTGCAAGATTGCATTTCTCAGATTTTATTGTTCCTCATTGAAATGTTCCTAACACCAGTCCTATCAGGAACTATTCTTTTATATTTGCATTACAAGCAGCCCCCTGCAGCCACAGTAAGGATCGGGGCCCCCTTGTACCAGGTGCTGTACATAACTCTATGAAAACACAGTCCCTCTCCTGGAGGGTTTACAGTCTAGTCAGGGGTCCTGCCCTAGCCAGGACTTATTCTCATGCCAGCTTGTCCAAACTTTGGTTCTGTGTCTAGGTCTGTCCCTGGTCTGCCCCTTGGTTCTGGTCCAAGCCCTGGTCCTGCCCCTGATTCTGGTCCAAGCCTTGGTTCTAGCACAAACCTTGTTCCTCATCCTACCCTTAACTCCTACCCCGTGGTTCTGCCCAAGCCGTGGTTCTGCCCGTACTCCTATACGCGCCTCCCCCCATGGAATGGTTAAATGGTTTCTCCCAGGGCCGTGGCCGCCCGATAAGCCTCGCGGTGGAGCGGTCTAACAATGAGGAGACGGGGTGTGCGTGTGTGCGCGCGAGCGCGCTTATAGCACCGCCCCTGGTGGGGCGTGGCCTGACTGCCCAGGCCACGCCCTCCCCCGCCCCTACACGACATCCCCGGACGCGGCGGCCATTTTGTCTCAGTGTCGGTCCTGCCTAGCGCAGCGGTAGTCGTTAGTCCGGTCGGTCAGTCCCGTAGCGCCCCGATCTGTGTCAGAGCCGGTCCGAAGGGCGGCTCCGTAGATGGCCAGCTTTCCCCCGAGTGTCAACGAGAAGCTCATCGGTGAGAGCCGGGGGGGGGGCAGCGGGAGGGAGGGTAGAGTCTGTGGGGTCGGGAGGACTGGGCAGAGGAGCCTGGGGGAATGGGTGGGGTTGGGTAGTGTGAAGCTGGAGGATTGGGGGAAGGTGCGAGGAGGAGGGCTGGATTGGGTACAGTGTGGCCCCAGGTGGGGGCGTGGGGTGGGGGAGATGCGCCTGGGGGTTGAGTAGAGTGTGGGGATGTGGGTGCTGGAGGGTAGAAGGGGGGGGTTGGGGGAGTGT